GGTGCTTGGTGGTTACCAATTCAAAACAAGTCTTGAGAATTGTTTGGAAAAACTCTGGAGGTAGGAATACTCAACCTCTATCATTCCTTAGATATTTTTTCTTAACTGAATCTATATATTAAAAATATGCAAGACTGTGCATTGCTAATACACAATAGCTCAATGCATGTTTACATTTTGATAGAATGATAATCTTATAATTATATGATTTCTATCCTTCTTGCAAGCATAAATTAGATGGTTTAGCTACTGATTTTTCTTCTTATGTGTTCAAATATTCTCCATTGTTTGAAATAATCTTGCATGCTTATGAAATTGTGTTCACTCTTCATAAATATTATTTTCATCTGTTCCCTGTTACCACTAATGAAAGTAAATATGAAGGATTAGAGTTTCGCATGGGAATAGTAGCAATAAATAATTTTTATAGTCTTGCATATGATTTATAGTGAATACAAAGTGTGTTTTTCAAAAATAATGAACTTCCAGCAAAACAGATTTTTAATCTATTTTAAATAAACCCAAACAAACTAATGAGAACACTTCTATAAAATCTGAGACTACTGGAGTTAGCTTAACATGTTTTCATGGTACTAGAATATCGAGAAAAAAAAATTATTTGACAACGTTTTGTGGTCAAAACATATTTTTAACTTCATTGCTGTCTGGAGACAGCAACAATACTGACTTTATCAGGTCACCGTTTATTCTAAAGAATGAGTTTTTAAGTGATTCAAATTGGAAAAGTTATATTTTTAAGTTATCTTTCAAATGCTGCTGGTTTCATAATTTTTTTTTAGCATTGAGAGAGAAACGTCAATTTTTCCAAAATGTAACAGAATCTGTCCAGTTTTCTTAAAAAAATTATTTGACCATCTTCCATTGGGTTTCAGTCTTCAAACTCTTCTGGAAATATGTTCTAAACTCAAATATCTAGCAAACCATTCTGACTCTGCCTCTTTTTGACACCGTTTGAGGCCCCTTTTTATTTTTCAAACATAGATCACCTATGCTGGAAGTTAATGTAACTCGTGTCCTAGAAAAACCAGTTTTCTCCAAATTTTATTTCTCCATTTTAAAATCATTTTTAGCCCTGGTATTCTTCTCAAAATATTTTCCTAACTCGATGAACTAGCACCAGTTAAAATACTGTAACAGTTGAACTTCGTTTGGTATGGGTTTCATTTTTTTTTTTGTTTGACCATACAATGCTGAAAGAAGAAGTGTGTGAATTCTTAAGGAATTTTGTGATGATAACTAAGATATTCTATCATATTTATTTTGGTTGCCATACATGATTGTGTTATGCTATATAAACATTATGTCACTATGGTTTTCAAACTAAAACTCGCACATGCATCAAAATGTGAATTCAACAAAGTAAAGAAACACGAAATTGAACCGATGATACATTAAAATTTAAAATAAATGGGGTGAGCCCAGTTTAGAATCTTGCGCAAGTGAGTTGGGAACCCTAACATGGCACGGGAAGGTATTTTGGCTCTTATCGGTGTAGGTGATATAAAGTTGGTGATGCGGGTGTCACAACATAGACCGTTCCCTTGGGACAGACCGTGATGTCACGACTCGGGTACGTAACCCTGGTGCTGGGCATCATTGGTAGTTACAACAAGTAACATTTGAATATTTGATTAAGGGGGAGTCAGAATTGCCCGTGGCTATTACTTAGCGGTTGAGTGTAAATAGTGCTCTGCGGGGAGTTACTTAAACTTATCTGATAAACTATATCTATGAGAATTTAAAAAGAAAGGTGGGCATTTTCTTTATGATGAAATATTGCATCCACTTGCCATTGTTTTTTTATTATCTATTGTTATTATTTCAATTGATAGCATTCATGTTATGCTTATTAAATGCTACTTGTTATTCTGTTACTACACATTATTCATTAATTGTGAGTGTTATTATCGGGGTGGGTATTTTCGGGTTGTAGTATCTTATTGAGCTCGTCGCTCATTGGCATTCCCATTGCCCTGGCGTTTTATGCCAGGTATCAAAGAAACCGAAGGAAACACCGAGGCCTTGCAAGGCGACATTTAGCCTTGGTTAGCTTGAAGAGTGCCCAAGTTCCATGAACTATTTTCTAAGTTTTTCTAGTTTTTCTTTAGTTTTCTTTTTATGTTTGTGTTATTATTTTTTTTTTTTATGTACTAAAACTAAGTTTTAAGTTTTATTGGATTTGTAATTTAAGAACTTTCAATTTATGGGTTGTTAATTAATGGATGTTAGTAATATTGGTGGCAACATTGATTCTAAATTCTAAATCTTATTATGATGTCCTAAAATTTTGGGGCGTCAGAGTGTAAGTCCACACTTGATGCGTGGACATATGATCTTATCCTCATAACTTGCATTAGTAAATGCAAAATCGAGAAACATGTCAACTCCTTTCTGGTATGCATCACTTAATCTTGATCGATACATCCATGTCTTATCCATAAGTAAACAATCTCAATTAAACAAGTGTCCAAAGTGTTTCTAGAACATTAAAAAAGTCATATATCAATAACAAGTATTTGTAAGTTATGATTGACAAAAACAACTAAACTTGATTTCGCAAGAACTATAAGATACTAACAACAATGTAGAACATAACATATTCAATATATTAGTGCATGACTATAAAGCAACTCATGTCAAGAGGAAACATGTAAAAGAATTTAAGTATTACAAAGTCAATGCAATATCATTATTTCAATAGCAATTCTTATGGTGGTGGAGATTTGGGAATGTGAAGAAAGCATTGTATGAAACTTATGTTTTAATTGGCAAGCAATTGATGTTTAGCACTTTGATGATTTAGTAGATGAGATAATACTCATGTTATGAGGGGACATGAACCAATGTCAAGGTTAACTATGTAACCTTTTCCAAAATCTTTAATACAAGTACCAATGTATATACTTAGGTGTTATGGGTGCATTTTCTACAGAATGAAATCATTTGGTTTATAATGCTTCTAACTAGAAAGATTAAATGTGTAGTCAATTCCAGGAAATGACAACTAGGAGGATCATACTGTACGAGTTTATTCATATAAACTGTTGAAGGACATTTTGTATCTAACAATAAATATCTAAGTCATGCTAGAAAAGCAAAAAAGGTGGGAGTGACAAATCCAGGGTCCCAAACATCATCTTTATTCTTTTACACTATAACAAACTGATAAGATGATTATCAATTTAAATACAGAGCATACAACAAAAAACACTGCCAGCACACAGCAAAATACACTACTAGCACACAGTAGTAACAATTAGCAGAAACATCCAGCATCTTCTCTTCATCAGCAATAATCAGCAGCAGCAGAGTTTTCACTAACAACTTTTGCTAATTGTTGCTGCTGCTAATTAATTGCACTTGTTGCTGATTGTTGTCAGGGATGGGAAATAGAAGTATGAACTGGAAATAGCTTGATAATGCAGGATCAAGAGATGTATCAAGTGAGGCGTAATGGGGCTATTGATGGGTACTGGTGTATAAAGCATAGGAGATGTGCTGCTGTTGAGTGAACTTCTGGGGTGAAGCAGAGGAGGTGCTAATTTGAGGATGGCTACTGGTCAGACATTACTTGAGGTGAAGGGTGAACTTTTGGGTTTTTACTGGTATTTCTGCTGATTGTTGTTGGTTTGTCTATTGTGTAGCATTGTTGCTCCTGTGCGTTGGTTGTTGAGTTATATATGTGTGCTGTTGTGTAGCATTGTTGCTTCTGTTGATTGTTGAGTTATATATGTTGGTAAATTGTGTTTTGACTCAATAACCGCAAAAAAATTGCAATTAAAGAACTCGTGAACACACAGGTGCTGCTTGTACATTTGAAGTATAACCACATAAGAAAAAAGAGAATTTAATTATAAATCTAGATTAATATCTAAAATTATTGGTTAGAAACAATCTAATTAAGTTGTGCTCGACGAGTCTTTAAAGATTTGAATTCATCGGTTACAAAATCTAGATTAATTTTCAAAGTAAGGTCTCATTTAAGGTAGAGAAACAAACAATTAGCGAGAAACAAACAATTAGCAAGAAACTCATCCCCCATTGAATTGCGAATGGCAGTTTTAACATGCTTCATATCCAAAAATGCTTTTTCTGTAGTTGCCGTAGAAACAAGAAGGGCCGACACAAGACGAATCAATTTGTAGATCATGGTGTAATGCTTAAACTTTATGAAACTCAGGATCACAAACAACATCAAGCTTATAATGCATTAATTGATATCTCAAAGCATGGATGTCTTGAGAAGTGAAATCTTGGGAATAAAATTTCTCGGCAAGATTGTAAAAATTATTCACATTAAAAGAACTAAAATTGCTACTAGGATCCAAAGCCAAGCTAAGAGAAAGGAGTTCTACTACCCCATCATTAAATTTATGTTCTAACTTCATCAATTAAAAATCAATTGTAGAGTTGAATATGTCAAAGTGATAATGATGCTCAATTGTAATGTGATCTTGTTGACGACGACGACTTGTACCCTTTTCATGAGGAGAACTTATATCATGCACCGCAATGTTATGTGATTGCAAAATGACACCACATTGGCAAGAAAAATATCCTAATCATGTTGTCTAAGTTTTTGAATGAGAGCTTTTGTTGTGGAGACTAATTTCATCCCATTTAAGATGTCTTGAGTTTTCTGTTGCAAGACTTGACAAAGTGTATTCACGATTCCCAAAATGTTGTCCATCAAGTGCAAGACGAATATGAATTCAAAATTCTTCATTACTTTGTAAACACCATTAGCTTGCCTGCGAATTTGTTGATTTGTACTCTTCTTGAGACTTTTAACAACTACACAAGATGCCTTATACATATCAATCAAGTTTCTAACAGAGTCATAATGCAAGCTCCAATGAGTAGCTCCAGCTCAATGCAAGGTATCAATTTGATTGGCCCCTTTACTAGATTAACGCTCACCACTAGCCAACGTATTTTCAACCTCACTCCTATGAAAAAATTTTAACTCACCAAGGCACTTTGGAGAATAAGCAACAAGATTGACAATACAACTTAAGTGAGAAAAAAATTGCCAACCATTAGGCTCATCTTTTACTGTCGCAATAAATGCCAATTGCAAACGATGTGCAAAGCAATGTACATAATATGCATATGGGCAATCTTTGAGAAATGAAGCTTGAAGTCCATTCCATTTGCCACGTATATTGCTAGCACCATCATACCCTTGACTACGTATGTTTTGGATAATGAGATTAAATCGGAAAAAAAGATATTCAATATCTTTTTTTTTAAGAGTCAATGCATATTTATTTTCGACACCCACGATATCAAAGAACCGTTCCTATACCTGTGAACTTATAGAGTTTAACATAGAAGTCTCCTTTAGCATCAAGTCTTTTATCTCCAACATTGCATTAAATGTGGCATATAATTCACGAGTCTGCCGAAGTTGTTCCTGCATATTTGCCTAGTGAATACATTTAGTTAAGTTAGTTAAGCTTGGAGGCAATAAGAAATTCATAAAAGATAATCAAATGTCACAGAACTAACCAACCATAGTATTTCCATACTTGAATATGAACATAAAGTTCTAAAAAGCGGTGTTCATACCTGTTGAAAGAGATTTTAGTCAGAGATCAAATATATCCTAATGAAACAGGTATGTAAAATATCCTGTCATCGAATTGTGCCACGTCACATAATATGTTATGTGGGTGAGAGAGACATACTAAATTAGTTCTTCTTGCACGGCATGTCATCAAGCTGCCATTTGAGCAATACAATTTCCCTAAGCTTAACAGCAAGTTCCTACACCCAAAATTTCACTACTTTTTAGTTCATAAATAGAAAGGTGATAATTTTCCCATGTTTTGGGAAGAAGTTTTGTACTTCATACATTTGAATATCATTAACAAAAGAAACTATGAACACATTGCTTGAATATGTATTTAGATCAACTTGTTTATTGCATATCTTGGACCCCAAATTAAAATCACCATTTTTTAATGGTAAGCAATATATCGTACTGTAGGTACATGTATTTGGATTTCCAATGTGGCGAGACACGTCATTGATGGTGGGTTGGTAGAAGATGCCCCCTTCACATCGTAAGGCATGACAAAAGCCTTGCCTTGGTGCATCACCCGGCTCCTTGCCTTGCATGGGTTTCATTGCCTAGCTTGGGTCTCATTGCCTTGCATCACTTGCCTTTTAGGCCTCTATAAGAAGACAAGGGATAATGACAAAGACATGTTGGAAATTGTTTGGAAAAATTTGGGTATATAAACAGATTTTTTCCTAACTTTGGTCTATTATTTAGGTGAGATTCGTGCGTCGTTTTTTGCGGGTCAAAGTGGTAACGCGTTCTATGCCGCGTTGTGATTCACGTGGTATATTTGGTTGCTCAAAACCATTATCGAGTGAATGGAAAATTAAAGCCAAAGTGTGCTCCATGAAAATGGAGTTTTGGTGGAAAATCTTTAAAGGTTGAAAAGTGGCTTGTCCCACATTGATTTGGTGGGAAGTTTTGAGTGGGTATATAAGGCATGAGATTGGAACTTGGGGTGCCCCAAGGGATACCCAAGTTTTGTAGAGAGAGAGATTATGGGCAAAATGGGCTAAACCCATTGGACCCAAAAATCACCACACGCATGCCGCCGTCCGGGCGGGCTGGGCCGGGTTCGTGGTGTGAGGTTGGATTGGGCTTGTCTGGCCCAATACTAATCTTTTTTGGCAAAAAACATTTGAATTTTATTTTCTAAAATTATATTCTAATTTTTCCAATTTGATTTTTGGAATTTAAAATTCAAAATTGGGTCCAGTTTTCTCCCACCCGAACATAATTGAAATGGTGTGAGGTTGGGTTGGGCTTGTCTGGCCCAATCCTAATCTTTTTTGGCCAAAAACATTAGAATTTTATTTTCTAAAATTACATTCTAATTTTTCCAATTTGATTTTTGAAATTTAAAATTCAAAATTGGGTCTAGTTTTCTCCCACCCAAACATAAATGAAACTAACTCGGACATATTCAAATCTGTGCTGTTCCGGTTTTATCGGTTCAAATTTGAACCCAATCAATACCAATTCAAACCCAACAGGTTCAGTACCTGTTCAATTCAAAATAAATGGGTGCCACTACATCTATAAATAGACTAGCCCTTCATCTGATATTTTGATTCAGAAATTTCGTACTTCACCTCTGCAAATTTATTCTTCATTTTGCTGCATTTAATTTTGGTGAGAAAGAGTTCACTTAATGTGTTCGTTGAACGAAAAATTTGTAGTGCTACTATTTTTCGTTGTTGATCATTTCATCCTGATAGATAGACGTCCACATTCTGAAAGTACCTTGGAGAGGATGAATCTGTCTTAAGGACACAGTGTCGAACACTGAACTTGATCAAATTATTTTTATAAGAAATTAATCAAGTAAGTTAATTCTTTTTCTGTTTTATTTTTATTTAAATCAGATTTTAATTTTGTTTTTATAACAGAATAAAATCTGTTTTTATTTATTTATTTTTATTTCTAGTTTGATTTTTGTAATCAAACATTTCCTCTCATTTCCTTTATTTCTTTTATATTCTAGTTGTTGTTAAGTACACAACATAATTTAATTTATTTAAATACAGTAAAGATTGTCCAACACATGTGAGTATACTAAAGATACATACCCTCTACAGCTCTTGATATGATCCCTAAGGTCTGAGCACTAGTGTAGTTGGGTCACGGGAAATGAGCCACCTGTACCTAACCATGAGAAGGTTGAGCTGGCCCCTGACACTTCTACAATGGGAGGCATCCACCTTCACATCAGATGATATATATGACAACCATATTGTAACAAGCCCGCGGGGGACCTCGCTACAGCTCGGACTCGACCTTGTAGTCACGGTTCTAAGTCTGAACCAAAGAGTCCAAATCCGACAAATTGTTTTGAGAAACTGATTTTTGAAAAAGTAGTGCCAAATATGGACTGCTTTGCCAGATACAGAGTCGCCACCTAAATATTTTATTTTGGGAAATTTAGGAAACCCTGACTCGGTGCCAAAAGGCCACGTGTCCGTCATCACCAAAGAATGTATTTTCACAAATATATGCATGCCTCGATCCTCGTGCCATCAATCACGCATACCGAGGCATGATGGCCGAGGAGTCGAATTGCACAATTTAATGTAGGATGAATGCACATGAAAACACAACAAAACCTAACTCCATCATGAATGATCCGGAGTGTCGGTGACTGGGGAATTCAGACACATTTCGTCACTCGGAGTACGAAATGCACCTCGTTTCCCGTGCCGGACTAACTCCTATCCCGAATACGATGCAATATGCATGACATGCATGAAATGCGACTAAGATACAATCCTAACATACACAATGCTATGAAAATGAGATGCCTCGAAATGCGTGCACACGGGCACGTAAACCGAGGCGACGGCGGAATGCAATGAAAATGAGATGCCTTGAAATGCGTGCACACGGGCATGCAAACCGAGGCGATGGCGGAATGCAATGTAATGACATGAAAACATGATATGGGCTTATACCAACATGAGTGAGCCTCAGCCGAACTCACATAGGATGCCGTCGGATAAAAATGAGGTGCCTCAAAATGCGTGCACACGGGCACGCAAACCGAGGCAATGACAGAATGCGATGCAAATGACATGAAAACATGATAATCATTCTAATGGAGTTTCAGCACTAAAATATGGGGGAAAACAGTCCTGAAATGAGGCGAAATGACATGAAATGCATGGAATTATCCCGAAATGCGAATTTAGGCACCCGAAATGGCCTATGGCTATGCCAAACATGCACAATATGGACATGCAATGCAAAGACAGAAGCTAGACAGTCCCAAAAAAGGCACTTTCACAGTTATAAACATGGCTAAACAGCAAGCATAGGTATGGCAAAAATGGCATGCAAGAATAGGGGCAAAGAGAGGGGTAATGAAGCAAGTGATATAAGCAAAGCCCAACCTGAAAAATTTCCTTCTACAACATTGAAGAGGGACCAAGAATATGAATATTTACAGCATATGGAAGCCTCAAAATCAGTATACAAATATGCTAAAAAAAGGCACAAGATTGAGGCTCAAAAGGTGCTATAACATGAAGTATACAAAATAATCACCAAACAGAAAAAAAATGTTAATGAAACATGAATTATAGGCCAAAATAAGGCCACTTTAAGTTCGGACCAAGGTCCAAAAACAGAAGCAAAGGGGGCTGCCAATTTATGGAAAAATGGGGCCAAATAAGGGATATAACTACAAGTGACACATGGAGGCACCAAACAATGTTGAGCCCTTCTTCAATGTTGAAGAGGGGCTCAAAATAAGCCTAATATCAGTTTACAACATGCTCAAAAACAGATTTCTCATGGGCCACAAATAGCATGCAAAACTATGACATACAAGAGGATCATTGAAGCAAGTGTAATATGGAGGGCTCAAACAGGGTTGAGCCCTCAATGAGAAGTGAAGATGAGCTCAAAAGATGGCCCTTTTCAGTTAGGGCTGGAGCTTGAAACCAAAAATAAGTGGGACTTAGAAATAGATCAAGAAAAAGGGTCAAAAGGGTAAAAGTGTTACTTACCCTTGAAGATTCAAACTTTTGTTGCTTCTTGGATGGATTTGCAGCTTCTTTAGCCTTCAAGAATCCTTCCTTGTTTCTGGAAATGAGATGATGGTGGTAGAGCTTGGTGGTGTAGAAGGAATGATGGTTAGTGACTTAGGGTTTTTTGAAGAATTGAGAAGGAAGAAGATGGAGTTGGCTATGGAAGCTTGAAGAGTAGATTTTCTAACCCTTAGAAGTGAGGCCACCAGCTGGTTAAAAGGATCAAAAAGGGGGTGTAAAGGTGGGGGAGAAGGAGGGCAAAACTCCCCCACAAAATATCCCCCGGACACAGAAAATATCTGGGGGATATTGCCCCACAGCTGTAAAGTGCACAGTGCAAGGAACACGGCCGGCCTATCACTTTTGTGGGAGGTGGCCGGCCGGCCACACCCCCTAGCCGGCCGGTTAGGGGTCAAAAGGGTCAAGGAGATTTTCTGGCCGGCCAGCTACTGGAGAGGTACCCCTATGTGTGTACAACACAACCATGTGGTTAAAATTCCAAGAAAGTGGGTCCAAGGGGTTCAACATTGGCTCGGAAGAAAGGGGTCAAAAGGGTCAGGTGACCTTAATGGCCGGCCACCAACTTTTAGGGGCCTCCCAGATGTGTACATCACAGATATGTGGTTGAGTGAGGAGAGCAAAAGGTCCAAGGGGTTCAACATTAGCCCGGAAAGAGGGGTTCAAAAGGGTCAAGCAACATTAGTAGCCGACCACCAACTTTTAGGGGCCTCCCATGTGTGCA